TCTCGTGGGAACAGCCATGCAGCAAGACATACATTTAATGAAGGAGACAGATGAGAAAATGGGGGGAAAGAGGCGTGGGAGTTATGATGTCTTCGTTCTGCACCAAAGTCGACTCGCATGCCCGTAATCCGGGCATGCCTAAGAAACGAACAGGAGTCCATATTTCGTAAATTCTAGTCGCTAAATTGGAAGGTAAAAGTAGAACAGAGAAAAGTGTATACATACACACTTGGAGTTCGGTCATCCAAGTCTTCGAATTTCGAAGGTGGGATACCATTCTCCTAGACTACTGCGCGTGTGGAAAAGCGTCCGGGACACTAGAGCTGCGGCCTGCAATGTTCTGCAGCAGTGATTGAGCACTTGCCCCGGCATGATTTATTATGATTTAGGCAAACGTGCAATCACGACTTGATTGTGTGAAGGTAATAACATGCTTCATGGTAAACTCGTCTGCAATTCAGAGGCCTGAAGTCAAAACAAGATGAGCCCCAGGGGCAACAGTATACCCGATTGGCCATGGCACCACGGGAGGATTCCATGTCATGTGACCCCGCGCAGAGCGTGTATAGCTTAGTCATTAAAAGCAGTCTCCGCCGGTGACCGACGGCACCCATCCGTCTCCCTGTCCGTGATTGGTTCGCGGCCGAGGTGCAGCTGAAGGGCGTATTGATTGGCGGTGACGGCGACCTCACTCTGAAGCTATCCAGGTTCGTCAACAGCTTTAGTCCTTATTTGACTCACCGGGACTCAATACGAAGTCCAGCCTTGGCGCTTGACCTATTCCGCTCACGTCCACTTTCCGTTCTCGCTCCGGTTCTCGTCTAAGCTTCGTTCCTCAGAGTACCTATATTCTCGTGTCTTTGTCTAGTATTTGCTCGAGACTTGAGGAAATATCCAAGTGACACTACACTCCAAAAAGACATTTTCTTCTCAAACTTTCGCCATGGGCTCTGAACTCATCTCAACCGATGCCAAGAACAAATTGGAAGATTTGTCTGGCATCACGATCCTGCCCGGTCAAAATCCATATGAAGCCTTCATTAAAGCTTGCAATGATAACCCAGTAAAGTCCAACATCCAATGCAAGCCTGTCAAAAGAAGCCTCCAAATCTGATGAGTGACAATTACGTAGGCGGAGATCCAGGCTCTCTACCAAGCCCACAGAACGAAGAGAAATGAGCAGCAGAGGCAAAAGTTCATTGCTCCCGACTTCAAGGAGCTCATCATTGACCCTTTTCTTCTGAGATTGGAAAACCCGGAGATGGAACCGGGTTTCCAGGACCCTCGTAACTGCTTGGTCTTTTGGGCCCGGCCGCCAGATCACATTGTGCAACTCTCGGCTTATCTGCAGTCTTTGCTTAAGAAAGCCGCACCGAGTGAGACCCCTAAACAGTGCAACTATGAAGAGTCATCAGAGACCCCCTTGACTAACACGGGAACCTTCAAAAGGTATCTGGCTCATGCCCCAACACCGAATGCACCTTACAACTCTCGAGGTGACGCACTCCAAGACGCCCGAAGAGATCATCACTCTCACGGATAACATGCGCTCGGCGATCCCCTACATCGCGGACTACACCTACTCTCACAGGTCCCGTCTCGTAAGACCCATGATCTCCTACGACCTCTCCGCCTTCGCCGTCTCCTTCCTCCCGGCCTCTGGCGAGCCGCCCCTGAGCCCGCGCCCGGCGCCGACCGCCCAGCAACAGGCCATTGTGCAGGGGGACGATTACTCATACCACCACCTTCGCCGCGACATCTTCACCCTCGCGCAGTCGACGGGCGTGCAGATTGAGTCGAGGTACCAGGTGCCGAGCGCGCACATCACGCTTGGTCGGTATCTTACGGAGAAGGACCACGATACGCCCGAGACGAGGCAGAAGTGGGTTGAGGCCATTGACGAGATCAACGCGTGGCTTGAGAAGGAGGTCTGGGACCGTCCGGGTGCCGAATGGATTGGAGAGTGGGTTGTTGGGCAGGAAAGGGGTTTGGATGCTCGTAATGGGCAGCTGTGGTACGGAGGCGGGAGGACGATCAAGCTAGGGGAGGGCTTCTGAGACGGAAACCTGGCTGGGCGCCTCGGCGCCTGGGCGTGTTGCAGAATCGAACTCAAGCTCTAGATGAGGGATAGACGGAATGGCAGAGCTGACGCGGCGGATCTAATTCACATTGGACAAATAGATGGGATGGGAGTTGAACATGATAACGTTATTTCGTGACTCAGTTATGTGATTGACCGGTTGAGCCTCATAGAAGGCATCTATCTTCTAGCGACCACAGATTCGGGAGCCTGGGCATGTCTCAACAGGGACAAGTTCATCCCACCTCGAGTGTGATCACCACCCTCAGGACAAACCGTTTGTCGAGTTCCCACGCATCCCGCATTTTCTCTTGTCACTTTTTTTTCTTTTCGGTTGTGTGGTCTCTCTAAGCGCGCGAAAGCAGGTGAGGGATGAGGAGGGGAGGGAAGCTGGATGAATTGCTTTTGGTATCCGTTCGCAAGCAAGGGCTTTTATTTGTTCCCTATGTAGAGTTCCTCAAATGAGAACTGGTAACCCTCTTCGCCGCCATTGTTCCAGCCTGATGATGATCCGTGTGCCGTGAAAGGAGCCATAAAAGTCGGTCGACCGAAAACACAATGCGTTTAGAAAACGAGGGCAGCACCCTTGGTCTTCTTGTCACCACTACGAGGGTTGTCAGTATGTTTCGAGGTCGCGTCCATTAGATAGGGGATGATATCATACCCCAACTCGAAGTGCTTGCAGCGCTTCAGGGCGAGCTGGAGCTTGGTCTTGCACTTGATGCACTCCAACCGCAGGACAACCTTCTTGGTGGTCTTAGCCTTCTTGTGGAAGACAGGCTTGGTCTGACCACCATAACCGGACTGCTTTCGGTCGTAACGTCTCTTTCCCTGCGCGAACAGCGAGGCCTACATCAAACAATCATTTAGTGAACCGTCCGGATCGTGTGTCGTGAGTGCGTCGCTAGGAGTCGGTCGTCGCGCGCGTGTCGTTAGACATACCTTGCCGGCCTTGTACTGGGTGACCTTGTGCTGGGTGTGCTTGCGGCACTCCTTGCCCTTGCAGTAGGTCATACGCGTCTTGGGAATGTTCACTGCACCCAGAGTCAGCCTCCAACATCCATCGTCAGGACCACACGTCCATCTCGCGAAATTCATGTGCCATTGCCGCAGCCGGGTCGATCCCTTTCGAGCCTACATCCTCTCCGTCGAACGCTATCGTGGTGTCGGCTGTCGTTTGATTTTCGTGTCGATATTCGTGCATCATTCCCCCCGTTCCCAATCGTCTATGTCGATCGCAAATCGGCGGCAACGCAACGGTCGGCGAGGTCGGCAATCCTTCTCTTTCTGAAATCAAATCCGGCTGCTGGCAACAACACCCAAATAGCATAACAATTCATTCCAATAAAGACTTACCCATCTTGGCGGCTGTTTGTCGATTTCGCTTGCCGGAGTGTCGTGACGATGAAATTGTCGGGGCCGGCGGGGGGAAGTGAAATTCAGTCGTTTTGCTGAAAATGTCGCTTGTGTGCGGGTAGGGCAGGTGCACGCTAAGCAATTTCCGCTTACAAGACGGGTGTGGCTGAGGCGATGTTCAGCCTCAATTCCATGCGATCGGGCTGTCGCACGTGACTTAGGTCGAATCATGAGGCTGGAGCTGCTCTCGGCTGGTCCCAGCTGGCTGGCCTCAACGGGAACTTGTTCAGATTCCTGGCCCACAAGTTCCTCTCTCCATGTAAGGTACTTACCTATGCCGGGCCTTTCATTGACGGACATAAGTCCTGCAGGTTGCAGCTACCAACTAAGGTTCACCAAACCTTCGATTGACCTGGCTAGAACGAGCCTTTCGTACCTGTCGAGCCTATTTACTTCACGAGGACGCGCCTGGCCGATGCCTAAGAAGTTTCTACGTTGTTTCCCGTCTGGATCTCCCTGGCTATTGGCGCTTGACACTTCTGTCTTCGCTCCTCGCGTTTCCCCCATAACCTTGTGGTGGAAAATCGACGAACCGTCCAAACACCGAAACACACGCCGTTCAGATCTAGGGCGAGCGTCTTGATCTTGGTCAATCCATCGCGCGTCAGGATAGTGTTTCCATGATAGACACGCAATCCTCTGTTTCGATCTCGCCCTATCTGGAAAGTCCCAACTCACTTTGCGACTCGGACGAGTCATGGCCGGCGAGGACAGACAATCAGACCTTCAACAGACTCACGAAGACCAGCGCCGGGACCTGGCCTATGCCCTCTTCCCTTCTTCGACTCGACAACCTTCCCGCCTTCTTCCCCTCCAACCTGAACTTCCTCACAACTCTCGCCCGTCCGCCCTCCCGAGGCTTTCTAACAATTTCAGCTGACAGACGATGTCATCGCACCATCGCAGATATACCCCCGCTGTCACTGGCACCCGCGGCCGGAACTGACGTCACTAATAACCCAGCCTTTATTTTCCATTAATCCCAGCTTGGACCTTGCAAGGCGTTCTATTCGGAGCTCAAAGGGAGGCAGTTTCGGAAAAACTCTACCATCAATCAGTGACGCGATGCCTCTATTATACGGCTCCCATAGGCCCAGGTGTCACTTGCCTAGCATGACGCATATTGAACACTATCCATGAGGCTCGGAAATTATCGTTGTGGTTTAATCCAAACCAAACTGGTATGCCTATTCAGGCTTCCTGGTCCACGCGAAAGAAGGTGAGTTTAATTGCTTCACGACGAACACTTGACCTGGGAGAGCTCGGTCGAAACCTATGATGGCATCCCGTTGATGATGGCGGGCCCCTAGTCTCGATGACTAGCCCGAATTGGATGCTAGAAGCCCGTCCGTCACCCTTCACGGCCTCCAAGTTTAAAGAACATCAATCAATTTGACGGGCGGCAGGGCGACAGATTAACGGCTTGGGCACACTATGGCCAACCTACTGTCCTTGAGTACTTCTAAATCTGTTGTCGACTGCTCAAGCCGTGGTTCTCATGCCATTACTTGGGGCAAATATGATGGCTCAGATTGTTATTGATCATCAGCTGCTGCAGGGGCGATTCTTTGTCAGTGCTTTCAATCCTCGCCAACGAGGAACGCATAGACCTCGAGATGGCAATACTACTCTTGCAAATAGAAGCACAGGGTCCAGCGGAAGCCAAGACAGCTGAACAGCCGGAGTGCATACGGATGAAACTTCCACGGGAATGAAGTAGAGAGCCTCTTGGTGTTCTCACCGTATAGTTCAGGATCGGATTGCGGGCCAACAGGTCACGCATTCCCATCACCTTACAACAATGGTGACCGGACGAAATAAGATCGAATTGAAGCGAGACCCGACTGAAAGGGCGTAGGCGTCCGCCTTGCCTGAGCCCGAAGCTAATTGTGCCGGTATATACACTTTGAGTGGGCGAGACTACGTTCGGCTCACCGTCAGATGGCTTTCCGGTGGCGTTCATTACGACGACGACGTACCAGAGAACGAAGATGGGATTCTTAGGATTTGGACCATACGAGACCACACCGATACAACTACGGACCATGGCCTTCCTGATTCGGTCTGCCAGAAATACAACGCCAACAAAACAAGAGCCGCAACAGGAACTGGACGATTTGAAGGGTTGTGGCGCCCCAAAACAGCCCACTCCATCCGCGGACGGCAAAATTGTAGTGCTACAGAGCGGATGGAATGGAACGAACAGGGCTGGAGCGACGAACCACGCCGTCCCAGCGCCGGTTTTCCGCACCCCCAGAAGAAGCCCAGTGCCGGTCTTTTTTTCTTGGAGTTTTCCCCCCAATTCGCTTGCCCTCCGTCTTTAACTTGACAAATTGCACCACCAAACTCGCAACGTGGGTTGAGCTTGGCATGAAACGTCGCCCAACGCCGCAACGTCGACGGTTTCAGATGCAGCAGCTCCCGTGCGCTCCAACCACGTTCCTTGCATGTCCACACCTTAATCGACGCCCCGATTCACGTCCCGGTTGCTTTCTTTAGCAACAAGCTACAGCCACCCTCCCTGTTCTTGGGTGCCGTGTCGCGAGCAGAGTGGGAGAGGAACCAAGTTAACCAACGGTAGTTCTTGGTCCTATACCAGATGGATCTACGCATAAGCCAGGTTTGCCAGGGCCCCACAAGGGACGCGCAACCCCTTCTCACACTCTCGAGTCTCTCTTCCTCCTTCCTCTACCATCGAGGCGCTGATCCCATACGCTCTGATACAGCTCCGCGAAGGCTGTCTTGCCTGTGCTGCAGATTCGTCCGTCCAGCTGGCGTCCCGGCTGTGGCGGGTATCCGAAGGATCATCACCAAGGTCCTTATTTTTCGGATATCGGAACGCGATGGGTCTGGAATACCACCAAGCTCTCGTATGGTCTCAGTAAGGCCGGTATGGGCGATGAGGTTGGGTCCAACTCCTGAATACGGGACCTGCCAAGCTCATTCAATCCAAACGATACGATGATGGGCTTGGAAGCTGGGGAAGGGATGGAAGAAGCACTTCTTCCGCAACAACTTGAGGCTCATTGGCCCCTTGTCCCCGGCTTGGCGGCTCAAGGCAAACCCTTGCTCGCTCCCCGCGACGTTGGGAGCTGAGACAGTCTGGCGTGGGAATGGTGGACAGTCAAGTCAGAGCCAAAGAGGCAAGGAGGCTCGGCAGTCCCCGAACCCTGGACATCCCAACTCAGGCCGACTGCTTGCCTCTCTCTCCGCAGATCAGCCCGGTCAACCACCCCCCCGCTGCCGACTTGTCGGTCCCATCTGCTCGCTCTGTTGCATGATATGTGAGTTTTTGTGTCTTCTATACGTCCAACACTCTGTGCAGGGAGTTGGCTTGTTTGAAAAGTAAGGTCTGAGCCGGTGTCTGGACATGGAAGCAAAAACGTCACTCGCACAATTTTGTTCCCTTCTTTATAGTATTAACCTTCGCTGCTCCCCTTCCCTCGCACTCCTTCTTGCATTCGATCTTTTTTTTTTCTGCTAGGCCAAGTTTCCATCACCAGATGTTTTTGTGATACCCAATTACCCAACTACTCACTCCGGCAATCATGGAGCGAGCACACTCTCTACTCACCAGCACGACACGATCCATCAGCAGCAGCCGGTCCAGCACCCGTTCATCCCGCTCAAACTCATTATTTCAGTCAACCCCAGGACAGGAGAAGGGGGAGTTCTTTCTCCCCGCGCCAGCCACTACGATCCCACAACCGAAACTCCGGGTGCGTGCGATACTAGGCCATTGCCTGTATCGCAGGGTTGTGATATGGACGGTGACAATTTCTATGCTGATCGCGCTCGCGTACCTGAACACGCCACTATACACCCGAGATGGAAAGATTCTAGGAGATGATTACAGAATAGGTGGAATGGGCGGTGACCCAAAGAAGCAGGGAAGGCCGGCGCCACCAGAGGAAGATCTCATTATCGACAGTGACATGCCGCCATGGCTCAAGTTCAAGCAGTGAGTGCCATGTCGATTTCTAAGAGTTGTGAGCAACCCGCTAATGCTATAAAGTCTCAATGGCTACTTCAATGGTCTGAAGTCCATCGTTCCCATTGCCAATCACACACCTGAATATCCCAACAACTCTTTTCCGGCACCCGTCACCACCGTGCCGATTTACCATGATACCCCTCCTACTCCCACCCCTTACGCAGCTCACCCAAACTACGCGTCTACTGAGTATCAGAAAGATTACCACCCTGTCAAGGAATGTTTTGTCGATGAGGAAGACAAGATCGCAGTCCCCGACATTTGGGCATTTGATGGTGTCCCCCAAAACCAGCCCGATCCGGCCATCGGCTCCCACACCGTGCTCGGCCTACGCAATGACGTTTGTTTCGATCGATTCGGCCGCTACGGCCCCTACGGACTTGGTTACGACATTCGCGAGGGAGGCACTTCTCAAGGTCAAGATACGGAACAAGAGGGAGCTGACATTGTTTGGACCAAGACTGGCAAGATCGATTACAGCCGTGTTGACTGGGGTGTCGCGCAAGATCGATGTATCGAACGCAACAGCGCCCGCTTCAACAATGGCACCAAGCAGAGCACGTACGACTCGATTTACAGTGAGCCCGAAACAAACGAGACCGGAGTCAAGCAGATTGATCGAATTGCCGTTGTCGTCCGCACCTACGTAGGATTCGAGTGGACACAGCTCGCCATTGTCAACTTCCGCGCGATGATCTCCGAGCTCTCCCTCAAGTCTGGTGGCGAGTACAGCGTTCATTTTCTTCTCCATGTGAAGGATAACGAGGCTGCCATCTGGTCGGACCCCTCAGTAGTGCAGAGTATCCTCGATGCCAACGTTCCCACCGAATTCCACTCGCTCTGTACTCTATGGTCGGAGGCCGAGATGAAGCTTTATTACCCGGGTCACTTCGCCGACGCCATTGAGAATCCCTCGAATGGAGACATTCACGGAGTTTACCGCAGCGCCCAGATGCCCCTCCAGGTCTTTGCCCTTCAGCACCCGGAATACGCCCACTTCTGGAACTGGGAGATGGATATGCGCTACATTGGCTCATACTACGAATTGCTCGACCGCCTGGGGTCCTGGGCTAAGCAACAGACTCGCACCCTTCTCTGGGAGCGATCATCCAAGTACTACATCCCCGCCGAGCACGGTTCATGGAACGAATTCGCCAGTGTCGTCGAGAGAGAGCTCAACGCATCTGGCCGCCGCGCCATCCTGGGCCCCCAAATTTTCCCCGGTCGCATGTCACTGAAGAGTGAGGAGGCTGGCCATTCCATTCTGCCCGCTTCCTGCGCCCGCGGTGGCAACCCCGACGAGTGTGGTGTTGGTGAGGAAGCCGACCTCATCACATTGAATCCCCTCTTCGACGCCGACGAATCCGGCTGGGTTTTCGCCAAGGATGTCACTGGCTACGAAATGGTCTTTGCTCCGCCACCACGCCGATGCTCCATTGTCACAGCTTCACGACTATCTCGCCGGCTCTTGGCCGCCATGCATGAGGAGATGTGGCGTCTGCACCACAGCATGTTCTCGGAAATGTTCCCCGCCAGCATGGCTCTCCACCACGGCTTCAAGGCGGCTTACGCACCTCACCCAGTATTTCTGGATAGAGCATGGTACCCCTTTAACACCATCGAGAAGGCCTTCAACGGCGGCCGCGATGGCACTACAGGAGGTCACGGCAGCCCCTTTGACCTCAAGAACGAGCACAACCACAAGGGTACTAGCTGGTACTACAACTCAGAGTTTGCCGGGCTCCTCTGGCGCCGATGGCTCGGTTACCCCCAGATGGACGGCCGTGGCGGTAACGGCGGCCGTGCTGGCGAGGGCACATTACGCGGGGGCCAAGATGAAGAGTCTCACAAGGACAGCTCTGGTCGCTTGTGCATGCGCAGCATGCTGCTGCACCCGATCAAGTGGGAGAACCCGATTGAGCGAAATTAAAGCGCGCCTTGGAATTTTTGATATTGTTATCAGGCATTGAACTGTCGATGAAAGTTTTGCCGTCATCGAGATGACAAGCGGAAAGCGTATTGCAATGCCGTAAGGTTCTCTTTGGCCCTGGCTTGCAAAAGTTTGTTTCTTCATGTTGTTACACTCACCCCTTTTCTTTTGCATTTACAAACAACCTGGCTACATAGAGTGTACATATCGAGAGAGACTACGACGACACAGTACGGATTGGGAGGTTATACCAGCCGGGGGATTTTACGGTTCACAACCCACACAAAGCGTTTGATTCTTCTTTGCAAGATGAGAAACAGGATCGTCATTCCGCGGGAGAGAAACAACACACTACGCAAAAAGAGCGCTGGCAAAGGTTTCGTGGACGAAAGTGTCGAATGAACAAAAACATCTTTTTTGTACATAGAGCGCAAAATCATCGCTCTTTTTCAACATTTTCAGAGCAGTGTTCTAAACAAGGACTCACACATTCACATACTCAAACTCTTGAGGATGGCGAGATATTGCGACGGCGTCTGGGGTAAATTGGATGAGCTTGGGGCCAGGGATCTAGGTTTTGGTGTTATATGGGCAGATAGCGAATGTGTCAGTCAGCGACTGAGTGGCAAAAAGAGAACACTTTATTCCACACAAAACTCATGAACCACCCACTCGATGTGCTTTGAACCGCCTCATTAAGAACAGCTATATAGCCGAGAAACGTCGATATTCATCCGCATGAGATTCATAGCATAGCATGAGTGAGGCTCCCCATGGAGTTGACTAATTAGTTCGACGAGGCGTTCGTCGCAAAGGCGGAAAATGACAAAATGGTCTGGTTCGTGAGCCTCGCATTTCGAGCAAAAAGGAAGAGGGAACTCGAGTTTGCCCCGGATTCACAGTGCATGCCATGACTCTCCCGACCCCTCCATCTTCTCCGCGTAACTCCTCCGATCACCTCGCACTTCCGCCCTTTCTCCAGGTCTAGAACGCCACCTATCCGTGTTGTGGGTAGGGCCGACCCCGGCGAGGCCCCCTCTGTCACATGGCAGAAACTAGGTATTGCCCGTGGAGAAAGAACGACGAAAGACGGCTCGCCGTTGTGTTCCATAGAAACGCCCCG